GCGTGCGATGACATCCGACTGCGTTAAGGAGTCGTAGCGAGATGCATTGTGACGTCGCGAGGGGGAGGGGTGACGTGGGCCTGGGGAGACCTCCGTCCAGCAGTGGAGAGAGCATGCCTCGCGAGAATCGGATTTTATTTGTCAATTCCAGCCCCGGGGAGGGAGGGGGGAGAGGGTCTTCTGTTGGCGGACGAGTCTGTGCGTGACGGATCCGTTGATTTAAATCCCACCGACACGCTCCTGATAGCAAGCGTTGAATGATGTCCAGGAATTGATTGTAAAAGAAATGTCCCAGTGCACGGCGAGGCGAGGCGCGTGAGTGGCGGTGGTGGTCCAGTAAGCTGCCGAGACGATTCCAATGAGCAATCGTGGTGTTTGCCCACTGGGTGCCCGAAGCTGCAATTATTTTTGGAGCCGTGTCCTGACTAAACATTACACGAGCAAGCTCCGTGATCTAATTATATCAGCGATGTGTCAAATTGTTAAGCTAATATACTAATTACAATCAGTTAATTACACTAACACATGTTTTTTTTGTTCCTGGGTAGTCAGTGTTATTTCCGAATTGCCTATGCCTCAAAACCTTGCTTTTGTGACCAGGACAGTGATATTTAGAAATGTACCTATTTTCAATGAGAAAACGGGCGAATTTGTATCTTTTCGTTCACATAAAGTCAGAAAAAAACTACATGAATCAAAAGTAACATGTATTTATACTAAAGTAATACAAAAATGACTACAAAAGATTCAGACATCAAGGCGCACTACCACAGGCGGGACTGGCCACAACGGACCCAGTTCTCTGTGGGGAGGAACAACGTCAAGTGGGAGCCACTGGTGGACCCCCGGAAGGTGCTGATGCCACCACTGCACATCAAATTGGGCCTTATGAAACAATTTGTCAGAGCTGTAGATAAGGAGTCAGCAGCCTTCAAGTACCTTCAAGACTTCTTCCCGAAGCTATCTGAGGCAAAGGTCAAAGCCGGTGTCTTCGTCGAACAACAGATAAAGAAGATCCTGGAGTGCAATGAATTCCCCAAGAAGCTCACTAGTAAGGAGAAAGCGGCTTGGGACAGCTTGTTGCAGTAGGTTCGTGGCTTCCTTGGCAACCACAAGGCCGACAACTATGTGGAGCTGGTTGAGACTGGTGAAGAACTATGGTACAATGGGCTGTAAGGATGTCCCTCAAGGTCCATATCCTTGATGCTCATCTTGAGTAATTCAAGGAGAACATGGGAGCGTACTCGGAGGAGCAAGGCGAGCGCTTCCACCAGGATATACTGGACTTTGAACGTCGCTACCAAGGACAGTATAACGAGAACATGATGGGAGGCTACATTTAGGGGCTGATTCGTGAAAGTTATTTACAGTATACAGTAATCGTAAATCTCGAAAAACTACTCCTAAATCTTTCGTGGTAAATTTTAAATAAATGTTCATTTTGATTCATATGTTTTTTTCTGACTTTATGTGAACGAAAAGACACATTCGCCCGTTTTCTCATTGAAAATAGGTAAATTTCTAAATTTCACTGTCCTGGTCACAAAAGCAAAGTTTGTGGGGAATAATAGCCATTTTCTGTACTTATGAGGCATAAGCAATTATGAAATAACACTTACTACCCAGGAACAAAAATTGTGTTACATAGTGTTATTTGAGAGTGCTATTAGACGACATTTATATATACACACCTGAGATGTAGCTGATATTTGATGCACCCAGATTATATTTTTAAAAAATCAATCCTGGGCCCCTGAAGCTACTTGAGGCATCATGCGTTTGCTTCTGTCTCGAGCAATCACTGCACACAGGGCGGGGACAGCGATGCGGGTTGATAGATAATTAGATAATTAGTCGAATCACGACATCATCGAATCGCCCACGTGTGTGCGCGTGCGTGCGTGTGTATTTAATTGTCCCTCTCGGACGTAACACTTTTAAAACCAACTGACTAGACACGACACCTGGTCGGTCGAATCGAGCGGTCCACCCGTGAGCTGCTTCACGTGGCGTCGGTTCTGACCTCCGTGGTCGGTTACGCGATGAGCAGATTGCACTTCGACACTTTTCGTTTCTCACTTTGCCACCAACCATCCACCACCACCACCACCCACCACCCCACTCCCCTTGCCGGTGGCTGCCACGGGGCTGCGATGTGGCCACCGCCACGCGAGAGGGCGTCGGAGGACCACGTGGCTCTTCCGCCGGAGATTGAATCTGATGTCTTTTTTTTGTTGTTAAATTTGAGACGATGCAATGGAACTGGTGGCTTCTGGGCTGCCATTTGTCTCTTGGCGCACGACGCGGCGTGCTCACAATGCTCTATTAATTTGCCCGTTCTCGATTACATAAGTGCTTCTATCCAGTCCTAACAATTCGCGTCATTAATTTACCCAGGGCAGCTTTCAAAGAGTCCCAAATGACTCCTTTTTTTCGGAAGGGCCTTGGAGTTGTGCGTGTTTGGCTAATTCCGTTGATTTAATGAATCGATTGTCGCTCAAAGGTTGGCTAAACCCATCATCAGTTTGGGGGGGATCGTAAAATGAGTACCACTTCTTGGGGGAGTTAGCTGTTGTCCCCACCGTTGCATTGTGGGACGTTGTCACGTGCTCGTGGGAACAAAACGATCCGTCTCCCGTGCTCGCGATAGCGCTGGGCCGATCACGAATCGGTGGTAAAAACTCCATGATCCTATGACCGGGCCAAGTCCTCTTACTTCAACAGTCGCTGTACTTCCCGATCAAGTGGTGCTGAACTCACCGACACCAGATAAATGAAGATGACGACGACGACTGCTTGACTGCGATATGAAAATAATTCCCTCCTCAAGCCACTTGGCTAATTGTAATGACATGATGACACCTGCTGGCTGGAAAGGGAAACACGGGTACGGGCACATGCCAAGACAACATCCAATCTGAAGGGAGAATATCTGAGGCAAAGGTAATGGGCTGGATTGGCCGAGATGCTCTGGGAACCTGCTCGAAGGTTCCACGAGAGGGCGTGGCCGGAGGCGGAGCCTAGCCGCACCTGGGGGTATATAAGGGGGAGCGGACCCAGGGTTCGCGTGTGGAGTCTTGGGCCCGGACTGTGTCGCTCCTCGCAGTCAATTCTCTCTCCGTCGTGCGGCCACGTGGAAGATCTGCTGCGGGCTTCCATCGCCATCCTCAGCGGAGTGAGGGCGGCGGGACCACGCCGAGTGATCTGCTGTGTGTAGCCAGTGGAGGCGTTAATATCTAAGTGTTGTACTCAGAGTAAGACGGACAAGGTTGGCCTGTGTTGTGCCCGTGTGAGAAATAAAGAAAACGTACCCTCTACACGACGTGTCGCAGAAGTCGCTTATTACATAATCACTGCTTTGTGGGTGAACACTGAGACGCGCCTGCAGTTCCCATTGTCCACATCTCTCCGTGAAACTCCATTCCAATAATACAAAAAAAATGTAACTCTGCATGTTGCACACGAATCTCAAATCAGACGCCTATGGGCTCGTGTGTTTATAAGTTCTGCTGCTAAAACCGTGATCTCCCTGCAGATATAACAATGTGAGTGTTGTGCTTAGATGTCATTAAAAAACAAAAATCACCGCTCCACAATTGTCACGTCCAAAGTCGCACCCACACGGGTCGCTCATTTGACACGTGGCAGTTTTTTGGCAAAAGAGCCTCGGGAAACATCTCCCTGCGGTTGGGGCTGGGTTTATGCTCCAGCTCATTCCATTGTTCCCCAAACGCGCACACTGCTGCACGTCGAACACCCTCGGACTGTATTGGCAATACTTTATAACCAACAGACGCTACTTAATTGGTAAAGCATTAAGCACGTACGTACGTCGAACTTCTTTCGCACCGTACCTAGCCAACCGTGCTAATCAAGCTAACGTACAACAGCCACGCGATGTCAGCAGCCTGGTGAAGGCCCTTTGCCGGAACGTTGCCTTCGTTTTACGGCCTAGCTGCAATCGCAAAGCGAAGGCCTCAAGCCTTGGGGCCACGTGGCCCTGTGGACGGAGGCGCCCCACTCACAAGCAAGAAGGAGTCGCAGTTGCAATCAGGACGGGGGTCGTCGACTCGACCCAACGGCCCCTGTTCCTATGGGGTGCTGTTGGGAGTCTACAGTGCCTGTTGTTTTGGGATATCCTGGTCCCCTTCGGTGAGAACGTGGAATTTGTCTCTGACTGGATTGGGACCTGCGGCAGACACGAACAAGGTCCCATCGCCAGTCTGGACGAGGGAGGCCACTTTTATTTTGAACGTTTTTAAAACAGAACGCAGCAACTGCGCTAAGAACTCGGACAAGCAGCCCTGCCCACCCCTTCCCCCGCCCACTTCACCAACCGGTACTCGCCAGCGTGGTGAAGTATGGCCAAACACCCCCCCCCCTCTTGACCGACAACGGTGGGGGGGGGGGTCGACTTCATCCTCCCGCGGTGGCTTGGCGCAGAGGGGGCTGCAAACGATGGAGGCGCGTGACCGCACGAGAAATTGGCAATTCGGACTTTACAATCTCGGCGGGCGAGGCCCCAGGAAGCTGAATCAGTTCCACAATGAGCACCACCACAGCCTCAGGTCGTTGGTGGTGGTGGTGGCGGCGGTGGTAGCTACAGGACACTGCGAGGCGGGGATGTGAAAACGAACCAGAGGCAAACAACGTGAAGAATCCGCAGCGCGTTATGTACGCGAGACAAACCAGAACGAACTTTGTTCAAACGGCACATTAAACCACGGCGACTCGGGGTGTAATCACAGCAGCAGCAGCACGGGCAGCTCTATAACAACAATAATCATTATTATACACTGGGAGCACGCCGCAACCGCCCTGTCGCGGTTTACACGACTGGACGACAATTGGCAAAGTGGAGAAGTCTCATCGGACCTTGCGTCAAGGCGAGCACAGGGGCCGCTGTGCCCACGCAGAGGAGAGTGCAGGGGGGGGGGGGCAGGGGGGGGAGAGGAACCAAAGGGAGGGAGGGAGATGCGAAGTGGGTGGGAAAGTGGGATTCGAGCTATCGGCGATCCGTGTGAGCGCGACATTCAGAGCAGAGGCACGGAGCGATCCGCCTTAATTGAGTCCACAAAGGGAGGGAGCCAAGCCCGCAGCGGACGCGCTCGTGCTGTCGAGTGCGACTACAAAGAGAGGCTGTTGCCCGAAACGTCGTTTATCATATATCTTGTTTCCTTTTAAGGCGGTGTTATCGACGAGCGAGTGGTGTTTTTTTTTTGCGTGACTCGAGTACGGCAGGAGGTGTGACATCTCGCACGCACGACGGCCACACGGTAACCGCTGGGAGCATCATCATTGTTCCTCCACCCGCACGCACGCACGGCGTGCACGGCACGACACCTCGCACGGCAGCTCTCGCGGAGAGCCACTCGTCCAGCGCGCCTCGAGTCGCCGTCCCAGCGAGGAGGAGGAGGAGGCACAGCGAGACGCACGCGGAGGAGACGGCACCACGACGATGTCGTCTCGCGTCCACTCGGCTCTCTCGCCGCCGCTGTCTTGCCTGGGCTACGGGCAGCATCAGCTGCTGCTGCATCGTCAGCTGCTGCTCCTGCTACTGCTGCCGGCACTGCTGCTGTTGGGGGGCTCCGGCGTGACCGCTGCCGGGGATGCCGCGGGCTCGGCGCGGACTTGCGGGGCGGTGCGCCAAGCGTACGCGGCGCGGGGGCTCCCTGCCAGGGGGGTCCCTTCCCACGAGATGGCGGGTGAGTGGAGTGTGTGGGTGTCGGTGGGTGGGTGTCTGTGGGTGTCTCTGTGTGTGTGGGTGTCTGTGGGTGTGTGGGTGTCTGTGGGTGTGGGTGGGTGTCTGTGGGTGTGTGGGTGTCTGTGGGTGTGGGTGGGTGTCTGTCTGTGTGTGGGTGTCTGTGGGCGTGTGGGGGTCTATGTGTGTGTCTGTCTTTGTGTCTGTGTGTGTGTAGGTGTATGTCTGTGTGTGGGCCTCCCCTAGGTCGACTCAGCCTCAAATGAGTACCTGGTGCGAGGTGTAAACATCGCCACTGGGGAGACAAAGGCGGTCGGGCGTGGTGCTGGCCACCCACCCCCTCGTGTACCGTTCCGGCCTTCATAGGTGCTCGCTAACAGCCCCTACAGTCTGTCAAGGGTATACGGGGGATCTTTGTCTTTGTCTGTGTGTCTGTCTATGTGTGGGTGTCTATGTGTGTGTCTGTCTTTGTGTGTGTGTGGGTGTCTGTGTGTGTGTGGGTGTCTGTGTGTGTGTCTGTCTGTGTGTGTGTGGGTGTCTATGGGGAGCGGCAGTGTAGTGGTTAGCGCTACGCTGCGCTACGGACCCGGCGACCCGAGTTCGATTCCCGCTCACGGCCAATATCGGTGACGATTATCTGAACCGGTCCTGGGCCTCCCCTAGGTCGACCCAGCCTCAATTGCGTACCTTGTGCGGTGTCTCAACATCGCCACTGGGGAGACAAAGGCGGGCGGGCGTGGTGTTGGCCACCCACCCCCTCGTGTGCCGTGCCGGCCTTCACAGCTGCTGCTCGCTAACAGCACTTGCCCCTCCAGTCTGTTGAGGCTACACGGCGGCGTGCGGGGGGGGGGATCTTTGTCTTTGTAATGTGGTCTGTGCGTGAGTTGGGGCTGCCATCAAGCCAGCAGTGGATAGAGAATGACTTGATGATACCACAGCTGTCAACACACACGGTTTAGCCCGAATTCTTGTCAAGGGACATTGCGTTTTCACGTCCATACGGCAGACAGCCGTTTCAATACGGACACAAAGAATGTGTTTTGTCTGTTTGTGTACCTCGCTTGTGATGGGACTTTGCAGGATGAACGCTGAGATTTATAAGGGACACGGGGTGACCAATAAGGTCTGAGTTGGCCTGTAATAAGGTAGGGCACTGATAAGGGGTTGACAGGTTTGTGATATACGTGATATGTATACACACGCAGAGTAAACATTAACGTCATCGTGGAGCGTATAAATAACACTTCATAAGCCGCCTATTCACTGACTCCCCACTTCTGTGCCAATATACACCCCCACCCCCCAGCAAACATGTGTCGTTGATTTAAATACAATGGCAGACATGCAAGACACATGTATGTACGACTCCTTGTCAATCGCAAGTCCTGTCGGGCACGAGGGGAGGAGGGGTCGTTGTGGCCATACTTCACCAAGCAGGTCCGTGCGGGTGCGGGTTGTTCAGACAGCGCTGGCCACTGCTGATTGCCGCCGTGGCCGGGAATTGAATTCAGGTGGTCGGGCTCACAGAGTGGCGGTGCGCGCACCGCAGCCCGGCAACTGCTGCTGCTGCTGCTCGAGGTCGCACCGCACGCGCCGTTCACGGGAGTTGTTCACGGGAGGTGTTCACGGGAGTTGTTCACGGGAGTTGTTCACGGGAGTTGTTCACGGGAGGTGTTCACGAGAGTTGTTCACGGGAGTTGTTCACGGGAGGTGTTCACGGGAGTTGTTCACGGGAGTTGTTCACGGGAGTTGTTCACGGGAGGTGTTCACGGGAGGTGTTCACGAGAGTTGTTCACGGGAGTTGTTCACGGGCGGTGTTCACGGGAGGTGTTCACGAGAGTTGTTCACGGGAGTTGTTCACGGGCGGTGTTCACGGGAGGTGTTCACGAGAGTTGTTCACGGGAGTTGTTTACGGGAGTTGCTTCACGGGCTGTGTTCACGGGAGTTGTTTACGGGAGTTGTTCACGGGAGTTGTTCACGGGAGGTGTTCACCGGAGTTGTTCACGGGAGTTGTTCACGGGAGGTGTTCACCGGAGTTGTTCACGGGAGTTGTTCACGGGAGTTGTTCACGGGAGGTGTTCACGGGAGTTGTTCACGGGAGTTGTTCACCGGAGATGTTCACGGGCGGTGTTCACGGGAGTTGTTCACGGGAGTTGTTCACGGGAGTTGTTCACGGGTGGTGTTCACGGGAGTTGTTCACGAGAGTTGTTCACGGGAGTTGTTCACGGGTAACAGAGTCGTTGAGACGAGCGCGCCGCGTCGGCGTCTCGTCGCTTGAAACTTGCATGAGACGCGTGCCCACTGCGCGTCTCCACCGCCACCGCCGTCGTCATCATCGTCGGTGCCGTCACCTCGCGAAGCGGCCATCGGTCCCAACGAATTCCCACCGCGACGTCCGCGTTCCCGCACACGACTCATCCCCCCCCTCCGTCCTTTGGCTGCCATTCCATCGCCGGTCTCGTCCACAGGACATCGCTCCCTCGACGTCGTCGTGGTCTGCCCACGACGGCTTGCCGCCCTTGGCGGCGTGGCGCCTCCGGGTTTTGCCTTTTGGTTTCCCCTCTTTCTCTTTCTCTCGGTGCAGAACTCGGAGTTCGCGCGAGCTCCGTGTTCTGTGCCCCACGTCGCGCGCTTTCCGAGCCGTACGCCGCAGCCGGAGCTGTGGTTAGTCGACGCGTCAATGAGACGTGGACACGCGCGCACGCCTCGCTGTGTGCGTTGGAATACGCACGGCATTGGAATACGCCGATAACATTTTTCTCGCGGCAACGACAACAACAACAACCACCACTTCCATCCTGTTCTCGTTCGCTTCTTTATTTTATTTTAATTACAATCTGCTTTTCATAATTGTCTGGGGTATACTTGGCATATTATGATCCGCTGTCAAATTACAGACGATGCATTCCTCGAGAAAATTGTTAAATATTTAGCACGCACACTCTCTTATTACTACACATTGGTAACTATTTAGCACACACACTCTTGTATTACTACTATACTACTACGACGCTCGTTTGCCCAGGAAAACGACAGTGAGCCTCACGTCTCTTTTTCAGAAGGGTCCTGCCAGGTCTTCGCAGTAAGTAGGGGGCGACGATTGCCGAGTGCGATGCTAATTGAGTGACTTGCGGTGTAATTCTTCCAATTAGGACCAGGACGTCAGCGCGCACACAGCGGCCTGCTGCTTACACACGACGTCGCCTGACCTTTACCATCCACCGCGTGGCACAAGATGCACGCTTTTTAAAGGTCACTGCAGTTGCAGCAATAACCAGGGCGGGCCGCCGGATTCGAACCGTGACGCTCGGCAACACGCGGCGACCGGCGCTACCGCTGGGGCTGTCACCGCCCCGACGTGTGCGGTGCATCGCTGCGGTGCCGATTGTCAATTCTTGCCGACGGCGAAATATTAGCGGCGAGTGAGATACCTGAAGCAGCTCTGGGTTCCCTCCCGCCCCCTTCACCAACTCGCAGCGACCAGCGCGGTGCAGTGTGGTCAAAGCAACACCCGTGACCGACATGGCATGTGGAGACTTTCATCCAGCAGTGCTTTGACAAAAGGGTCATCAGTTATTTCACTACTACTATTACTATTATTCAAAGTTGACTTCTTCAGTCAGGTCACGTATTGATCTGGCCAAATGTGTGTTGCTGACACCCTCCACCACCCAACGCATCCAAGCACATTGTGTCAGGTCGGTGAGGTTTGAACGACGCCAAAATGTGGCCGGATCGTTCCGTGGCCCGACCCAGACATCATACTCTGTGAATTGTAACATTTGGCTGTGAAACCCTTTGTTACAACTCGGATGTGGGGTTTGCACTAAATGCTGCCTTTAGGAGACTTGGAGCCAAGGGAGAACAAATAAATGGCAGTAGTGGTCAATAAATCTCACCGTGCTGTCCCCTGCTGGTGAAGAAAGGGCTCACTGCTCCACCGATCGATCGACCGCTTGATTGATTGATTGATAGCGAGTGGCCAGTGACCGCTAGTGGCAATGGCTTGAGTCCGGCGTGGTTTTGCACATTTTATGTTGCCCCCTTCGATTTTCGCAGGAGGCATGACTCCAGGGAGTCACAAATCTGACACACCTGGGTGGCGGTGGCGGTGGTGGTGGTGGGTGGGGGCGGGCGGGCGGGTCAGATTTGGGGTTGGTTGCCGAGCAAGATGCATTGGCGTCCGATATCTCTCGCGCAGTTAATCGTTCCCCTTGTTACGTCTGCCTCTCGGAAAAGTGCGGTCAAGTTTATAGCGCGGTCGGGCGGGCGGGCGGGCTGGCGGGCTGGTGCCTGCGGTCCAAGCGTGATGGAGGCAAAGCAGCGGCGAATCTCGTGGAGTTTTTCGCGAAACTCCCCGATCGCGATGAGGGGGGAGATTGCAGCCGAGGTGGGGCGATAGACTGGGGGCTCGCCAAGCTGTGGTGCGCGAATACTCATTTCTTTGTTGTTGTTGCTGAAATGATCAAACACAAACGCTGACGCTTGGTGCGATCCGCGTTTCGTCTGCCACGCGGTCCGCTCCCGCCCACCGGTGTGCGTGAAGAAAGACCACCACTGCCATTAAAACTGTAAACAATTTTTTATTTTACCAGGTAAGGCTCACTGAGCTATGTCGCTGGGTCTTTTAGAAGTGGCCTGGCCACCACAAATGATGGCTTATCATCGTGTGGAAATGTATAGCAGCCAAATACTCTTGAACGCGTGATGTTGATTTTAAATGTGGAGGGAAAAACCGGAGGACTCGGAGAAAAATCCACGTGACCACGGGGAGAGAGACACGCAAACTCCAAATACACAGCAGCTGTCAGGGTCGGGATCGAACCCACATTTTTCACTTAACTATAATAATTTAGGATGAGGGGGGCTGAGAATTCAGCATGGGGGATGATGGAGTGATGGGGGCACACTCCCCTAACCACCCCAAAGTTACAGGACTGCCTTGGGTAAGGTCGCCACCTTTACCACAGACCAGACTCGAATATATTCCCCAGTCAGTTCAAG